AAATGTTTGTACGTTATTACTACTGAAACTAACTTTTGTCTTTTGACAACATTTTGCGTTTGGATATGAGTAGAAGCTTGTAATGTGCTGGTTCTAACACACTCGACAGTATTTGCCCTAGAAATTAAATACGCAATATTGGTCATATAAATAACGTCGCAATATATATTAAGAGATATGAAAATAATTGTTCGATAATTCTCGTACTTAATCATCGAACTACTATAGATGTTACAATGACTAAAGACCTTTCTGGATATGTACTATCTGATTAGTTTAATTGAGCACTTCAATTCTAGTAGTTGATAGTCATTCATGATTGCTCTTTATACATTTGAATATATGAATGTTTTTTATATCATTGATCGGAAAATTTATTTCTTAGTTTTCCAGGCACTTTTTAACATTTGCAATGATTATGTAACAGAACTAAACTTCTGATGCTATCTGTATAATACTACGACATATCATTATATCTATTTAGCTTCTGAGTTCATTGTTGCGGAAATTAAAAGTTGAATCGCAGGAACAAGAACTTGATTTTTTATCTGTGAAGTCTTGGAAATTTTAAAATATCATACATTCGTCAATAATATCTATTTTGAAATAACATACGATGCAAAAGTCTTTGGAAAAATGTCAACCTGAAGAACAGATTCAATCAGACTTCTGACATTATTTCTGTAGTGATGTAGCTAATGAAGGGCTAAAGATTGAGCCTCGACATGGGTATAATCTTGACTATGCCACTATATCTCTGGTCTAGTTAACTCGTTTAAACTACACGATGTCTCAATAAAGAGAGCCATTCGTACTCTAAAACGTGCCGTAATTCTTTTCTAATATATAAAATGAAATCTGGCACCAACACAATCAAAAATCATGTATTAATTATTATTATTCATTGTTGAAGACATAGACTTTATCGTTCGAGAAGAAAGAGCTCCAATATTCGCCCAAATTGTGGAATTTTTCAAATATAACCAAATTCCCTATTTCGTTTCCTTCTATGCTTTGGAATACATATGAGTTAAATAGCAAACATATTCTCGTATGGTTGAAACTAATGTTGAATTTTTATTAAAATGTCCTCCATTATTTTTCGAATGACTTTTTATCGTTTCAAGCTATGAAGCTTCGGTTGTCATCATTCGAAAGAGCAATCTGGAGAACGTCGATCCATATGAAACTCATTAGATTCAAAGACCTTCTTGATGATTATTTTCATTTTGTTGTCCATCTTCATGAGTTTTCATGATGATCTAACAACAAATTATGCTCAGTTGTAGCCAGAACCTCGCTTTATTTGTTGTAAAAATTCCAAAACTTGTCATGGACACCACAGCTTCTTTTCGTTATAGGTTGTGATCGAAATATTCTGCTTTTACCACAAATACAGTATGGTTTGAGCTACAATTAAGCGTAATTTGTTATTAGGTCATTATGAAAACTCATGAAGATGGGCAACAAAAACGAAATCATTTTGAAAATAATCATCAAGAAGATCTTTGAACCTAATAAGTTTCATATAGATCAACATCCCCAAGATTGCGCTTTCGAATGATGACAACCCAAGCTCCATTGCTTGAAACAATAAATAGCTATTCGAGGATGTGGGTGTGGTAGAGATGTTCATCGTGCTACTGCCGCGCCGCCAATTCCGACCGCGGCGGCGCTGCTGCATGAGCTTTTACAGGAATTCACTTTGTAATTTCTAGAAAAAGCTTTATCTTCAGAGCTTAAATTAAAGTAGTCTTCCTTTTGTAAACGAGGAGTTTCTTTCTATCTTTCTTGAAAGGGAAACAGAACAAGTCAACTTAATGCTTTTTACATACGATAGAGTGTGAAAGTCTAAGAAAGTTAAAATAGTCCAAACAAGAAAAAGGAGACCTCATAGTACATACTAAAAAGGCAAAATAGTCCATTTATCAGAAGATGAATGCATATAAAAATGAATTTGTTAAAGCTATTTTTTTGAGAAAATCGAATCGCCGCAAATGTGTTAATTTCCAACGCACATCCACACCCACACTCTCCTCCTCGATCATATCCAAGACCATTCTCTTGATTTTCAATCCGTGTTCAAACATGATTTCGATATTGTCTGTCAAAAATATCTGCCATCGATTATTGATCGAATTACTTTACTTTGCCTTTCAGACGATAATGAGATTCCACAACAAATTCTTCTATTTCTTACATATGACTTTACTCTTCATCAATTTTCTAATTTGCGAACATTTTCATAGTGTAATCTCAATCATTGAATTGACATTGGAATATCATCACATTCCCAATCTCATTCATTTGAAACTTACCAATTTTATCTTTCGATCTGATAAGATGAGGTTTCAATGTTTTATCAATGGTATTTGGAGTCTACCTAAACTCATCTACTGCGAACTCGTTGCTCATTTGGGATATGGAAGATATTTTATTGAATCAACAGTGACATGGTCATCGATCAAACAACTGAATCCTCTTGGAAATTAAACCGTGTGTAAATCCGATAAGTTATTTTTTTGACTATACATCTTGTCTTCGAAACTTTTCTTCATCTATCACTCTCGGACCGGGCTATGTGGTCTCATCATATGCTGTTCTATCTATGATAGATGACTTTTTGCAAATGGTGTCCAATTTATGTCAATTAACAGTTCAGATATGTCACGTTAATATGAATTGATACATATGAGAACAAATTATTCGTGATCGTTTGCCCAAACTAAAAGTGTTTCAACTAAAAGTGGAAATTATAATTCATGACATCAACAACAAGGAGGAAGAAGTTGATGTATTAGTCGATTCATTTCGAAGTCAATTTTGGCTTGAAGAACATCGTTGGTTTGTTCGTTGTGATTGGACCATTCTGTTTAAATCAACTTCTCCTTATAATGATGATCATTGGTCATACAATCTGTGTGCATCCTTTGTTGCAACACGGCTTTAACCAAAGAACTGACTCAGTGTCATGTTCACTTTCCTAATATCCATTATCTTTCCATAAAATTACCTATTAATGATCAAGATTTGATCAATTGACCTCACTCATTGTATTATTGGACGATGATAATGATCTTGCTCAATCACAATTAGTATCTTTGCTTAATAGAGCACCTCGTCTTCGTCCATTGAGAATCAAATCAAGCTCATCCTTGACTGAACAAGTATTATGAACAACAGAAAAAAGTACAAATGTATCGATTCCTCGACTTTTCTCACAAGAATATTTGCCATGCTTCTACAACCAAACATGTGTTGCATTACGTGCTTCTTCCCTAGGTATCCAATGTGAAATGTTTGAAATCACAGTCAATAATCTTGCAAATATAATTACACTTATTAACGGAATGACCAAGCTTCGAACGTTGTATATTTATTGTCGCGATAATAAAAGAAACACAAAATTGAAGGTAACAAATGATGAACTTATTGAATGGTTGCAACGGCGCTTACCATTCACCTGCACGATTAGTAGAGACGAACAATTCTTCTATATTATTAGAATATGGATTCATGAATAAATAGAAAGTATACTTATCGAGCTATTTGTAACTGTTAGCATTCGAAAGAGCAGACTTCTAGTAAAAAACATAACGATCAATACAAGAAAGGAAAAAGTGGGTGTGAGTGTGTTAGCAAAAGTCCCCACACGTATATCACACATCCACAACTCGTATGGTGCTAAGTATTTTCGTCGCATACAAAAAATACCGCAGTGTAAATCATTGCGGACAAAATTTTGCGATATTTTATAGTACAAATATCTATGCATCACCAACTAACTTTGTTGAAAGTAATATTGAAAAGTGAATTGAAAAAAGATTTATATTTACAAAACCTAGGAAACTTTTTTTTATTACATTGGAAGAATGATAGTTTGTACTTTAAAAAAATATTACGATATTTTGACCGCAACGATTTGTACTGCAACAGTCGATTCTATGATGAAAAGTTCGATCACAGTCTTGTATATCTCTATTGTATTAATTTTCAACGTCGTAAATCTTTTCTTTCCGAAAGGGTGAGCTAACTGTTAGATGAGTGCTACTTGTTTTTTTTCACAGTATTTGTATTTGCCAACCTGGTATCTCGTAAACTTTTTTTTGCGTTCCTTCTGTAAGTATTATTATCATTTGTGATCATGTCAATCGAAACAGCTATGAAAGCTAATGATAACCTGTGTATGTCGTTTTCGAGTGTAATGATAAAGACAAAAAAAAGATTAGAAAAATACTCGATAAAAATATTAACTTCGACATAGTGTCAACGTATCCTTTTTTTTTCTTTCGTTTCACTTTGTTGATATGATGTAAAAGTAAGACTAGTAGGTGAGCAAATAGAAGATTTTTTTGCTTCAGAAGGTGGAACACGAAACACGAAGGAAAAATGTTTTAGCTTTATGAAGCAATACATATCCTACAGGGTGTGAGTGAGTTTCCATTGATCTTCCTTAGATCGGATCGAGTGCGATTTGAATCTTGACAAGTATTCATTTTCTTACCGAGTTACTTTTTCCTAATCCAATTAATAGATTTCTAAGTATTTTTTCCAGGATTGATTTCAAAACAATGTGTCATACAGTGATCGATTCATAGTATTTATATATTGTCACGAAGGTTACAACGATTCTGAAACAATTTCATAATTTATTCTTCTCTGCAATATGAACAAATCCATAGTAATTTGAGTAGATTACGGTATTAGCACAATTTTAAAATAACTAGAAAGTTTCAAGTGATATTACGATATTGTATGCAAGAATAATAAATTCTGAAATTATTATACTGGAAGGAAATAGATATTTTAGCATAAATAAACGATTACGATTTTTCGGTTTAAATGCATCAAGTGTGGTCGGATGCAAATCATAATTTATCTGAATGGATTGGATCCGGATTGAGTTAGAGAATATTAGGTTGGGCGTTGATTAGAAAAGTTGAACCTGTGTAGACACGAGTCTTTAAACGCTTTCTGTATTTTAAGATGTAATACCTAAGATGGCAGTGAGTTTAACATCTTTTCGAGGTGCAATTGCTCTTATCACAGGAGGCAATAAGGCAAGCACATCGTGCAAAGAAAATATTGAAGATTTTCTAGATATTATTATAGGGCATTGGATTTAAAACTGGCCGTCAACTCGGCGAACAAGGTCTTATAGTTCTCATTGCGGCTCGAGATAAAACACGAGGCGAAGAAGCAGTTCGAATATTGAAAAATGAGAATATTCAGGCCAAATGGATTGAACTTGATGTAACAAGACAAGAAACAATCGATAATGCAGCTCAACAAGTTTTAAACGACTATGGTCGACTCGATATTTTAATTAATAATGCAGGTGTTCGTCTGGAAGGTGAACCTCCGAGTCAAACTCTTATGACTAAAATGCGTGAAACATTCGAAACAAACTTTTTTGGTCCCTTTGCTGTAACGAAAGCATTTCTTCCTTTGTTAAAAAACTCCGATAAAGCACGAATAGTCAGTGTATCAAGTCGAATGGGTTCCTTTGGGAAGCCATTACCAGTTCCTAGTCGGTTAGCTTATACAACATCAAAAGCAGCTCTCAACATGATGACTGTTCAATTTGATAAAGAATTTTGTACACAAAACTGGAATATTAAAATCAATAGTGTTAATCCAGGCAAGTACTAACTTAGCATCTCTGAAAAAAAAAACAAAATTAAAATTCTTTTTTCGACGTTTATATCTTAGGATTGGCAAAGACCGACATGAATAACAATAACGAAAGCTATCCTCCACCAACCCAAGCTGCTCGAGCTATTGTTCATTTTGCAACATTGCCTGACGATGGTCCATCTGGAGCATTCTTTGATTCAGAAAAAAATCAAATGCCATGGTAGAACAATCGAAGAATAACATTTTTTAAGATAACATAACTTGATCACTTACTCAAATTTCCCGTTTAAACATCTGCATACAATAAAGATTTCACAAAAAAACATCGATCCCAGTAGAATTTTTTATGTCTTAATACAAACCTTATAAAAAATCATTTGCAATTCCTCTGTCAAGTTATAAGCCCGAAAAACACACGGTTTCAATCGACCATATGTTATGTTGCATTATATAACATCATAGATTAAATCTACCGTAGAAATGACACGTCTTTATACCATAGTTAATTATGTATTTATTTTTCTCTTTCTATTTGCCAGTTACAATTTTTATTTAGAGACGTTTCATCAACGACGTTGAATTCATCAGACTATTATAGTTGTAATGTTAAACAAACAGGATAAAGTGAAATTAATAAGTACAGTTTACATAGACACTTTGTCTTTACTCTACTTTGATAGTGAAGATGAACAAGACGGAGATACTGAAAGAAGATTTTTTCAGTCGTTTCACGATCAAAATAGAACGGAGAGCGAGCATGAATGTAAATCGTATATGTTTATTTATTCTATCTCGTATGTTTCACATTATTAATAATATACCAATGAACTAAATATCGTTGACGAAATGTTCCTAAATAAAATTTGTACTAATAGAAAGAAAAAAAAGGACTAAATAATTAGTAATTTCCTTCCTCACAAGTTATGATTTTGTATCATACCATATCAGAAATATAAAGTTCACAAGCTAGACTATTTTGGAAATTTAGCTGAGGGTGTGGGTGGAAATGATTCTACTACTCGCACTCACATTCACATCCTCCTTGAGGTGTAACGAAGACAAAGCCCAAAGCACAAATGAATATGGCTAGCTGAAGATTGGGACTTTGACTTGATCAAGATGCAAATTTCTGTAAGGCGCTTATAATAAAAATACAAATATTAAAAACAAAATTTGTCCTTGAAGTTATTCTAAAGCGCCATTCTATAGTGCGTCAATGATTGATAACAACAATATTCATATTTCGAATGATGGCACGAGCCTATTAAATGCTTATGTCGCAGAAGTAATCCCTTGCTGCATTTACGACGCTTTTTTCTTCTAGAGAGATTATTTTTTTCGGAGAACAATTGAGTGCTTAAGAAAGTAGTGAAGCAATATCGAATTTCTATTTATCAAAAGATTACGCTGCGCTCCTCTTCACTTTGGGCAAATGCGCAAAATATTGTCTCTTCATCAGATATAAAGACAGGTACCGACGTTATTGGGTCTCATTTCAACACAAGAGATGGTTTCAACAGCAATTCATTGGTTGGCATTCATTTTATTCAGGCAATTCTAAGGTATATTTTTCTTTTATTTATCTAGTGTTGAATAATTTTCCTTTTAAGCCTTACATGTTTGATTTCTATTTTGTTTTACACGTCTTCTTATTAATTTAGTCTGTCGCTAGTTCGAGTAAAATCTTAATTCTGTTATAGGATTGCTCAATATGATCGATATTCATTAAATAGTGTATGAACCTGTTTCTACATAGCAGGTGCTATTGATATTGACATTTGCAGTGATGAACTCATAGATTATTCTGAGCTACTTCCATATGAACGCCCAAACAACCTTTGTCATGAACCTAACCATAGATGTGTTCATCATCTTCGATGTCATAACCTTCCTGTTTGTTATCGGGTGCCAAGTTTCAATCACCAACTCCGCCCATCGATAGTAAGTAAGGGAACAAACAGTGATCTACAGATTTAAATGGAACTCGAGTTTTCTCAAAGTTATTTTTTCATCGTTCATTCACCCTCACATAGTAGTCCTTGTTAGTGTAGGAGCAGTGGATAAGAGTTTTTGAAAAAGTAGATAAAGCATGTTAGAGACAAAAAGAATCGTAATTATCGGAGAAAAGGCTTCATTTCTTCTCATGTATCATATCCATTGATTTGAAATACAGAGCCTATTGCAGTTATATCTAGCAATGCATGAATAAGCAGTGAACTCTTATATATATACATCAGAGACCAAAACAAATTGAACAATTGATGATGCGATTCTATTCGATTCTATAGCACGTATCATGTGTTTGGATCTACATAAGAGCACATCAAATCTACTGTGCCACGCTTCTCTTTATTCATAGTTTTCGTTGTATACTCGACTGATTCTTGTGAATATTGATCATTTAGCTCTAACACAGTAACCGCTGAAGCTCAAAAGAGCTTTAGCAATTAAATGGGATGAATATACCACTTGTAACCAGTGATCCAACTGTGTATGTAAATTGTTTTTTTCACAGCTTCTAACACTACTCACTTACGAGGGAAGTTTCTCAAGTGATCAATCTCTTTTTCGTAGACACATACATGACTGTATGCAGTTCACTGTGTCGATTCCACATATCAGAGTCTTAGCAGCCCTTAGGCCTTTCTAGATTCTGTGTCATTACTCTAAGTTCCTTCTGGTAGGAGTGTTTCTTATGAAATTCAATCTTTTAATTAGTCTACCATATACCACCAGACAAATTATCCACAGGAATATTTTTTCATAGATACTTAAACCTTAAATTTCAAGCACTAAGCTATAAAGCAGTGAAATAATTCGTATATTGATTACAAACAGTCATCTGACATTTCTTTTCATTTCATTATCATATATTCACAAATTAACTATAACTGCACTATATTCAGTACAGTATATATCAATGAAAGAAATAGAAAACATGTATGCTAATTTCTCAAAATATAAAATATTGGCACTGTGAGAAGATATTTCCAAGACAAGCGGTAAACTGAGCGAGATTATGTAATGCAATACATAAGATAAAATTATTTTTTTATCCTTTCATTATGTGAAAAATATTAACCCCAAAGGGCACTTTTGAATATTTAGTCTTTTTCTGTCTTACGATTCATCTTAGCGTTTGAAACTTAAGATTGAAGTTTTTAAAACATCCCTATCAGAAGGGATTCAGAGTAATGATACAGACTCTAGAAAGGCCTAAGGACTGCTAAGACTCTAATATTCGGAATCAACACAGTGAACTGCATACTGTCGTGTATATTTCTACAAAAAAGTGATTGATCATTTGTGGAATTTTCCTCATTAGTTGCCTCAGTAAGATACTAATAAGTGCAGAATGCATCTTACCCAGATCATTTTTGAAACCGCTACTTCTTTTGGAGAATTTTTCTTGAGAGACGAATGTAAGAACTCAGACTGTGTGATGGCGCGAAGTACGAGAGAAAGAGTTCGTAATAATTTATCTGTATATTAAGTATTCTCTTCTTTCGAATATCTCTGTAAATTCATTTCACTTATACTGCTGATATGACAGCAGAGTATTCTAGTGGTCTAAAACGAACACACTAGCCGGTAGGCAACTTATGTGAGAGGTTGAAATTACAAATTTCATACTTCGAATAATCGTTATGTACTGCAACGACAACCAGTGCATTTTAATCTTGTATTCAAAATACAACAGAAATAATGAATTCCAGCAGAATGGTCTCGATGGATTCTGTTCAATTCAATTCGATTTGATTCAGTCGAATAACATCGAATCGCACTATCGAAGATCTTTCTGAGTTTTCGGTCTCTGATGAACACAGAGGTTTTCCATCAAAAATCAGTTTTGAAAGAAAACAAATGCTTTTCAAATCATTTGAGGTCGTCGCTCTACTTCGAAAACACTACTTAGACTTCACATAAAACCTAAATACACCCTGTTCTATATCCCATTCTATGTGAGATCTATAACTATCTGCTTTAGTTACAAGAGCTGGGCAAATCAAGTCAAGTCAGACTTGACTTGGGAAAATTGTTTAATACTCCTGACTTGACTTGGCTTGGCTTGACTTGCAGAGCTGGGGAAGTCAAGTCAAATCGAGTCAAGTCAAGTTATATCTATTAGTAAGTAATTTTCGTTTATTTTAGGTATTGTTTTTACCATGACATAGAACTCTGAGGCTGTAAAACTTTTCTCTCATCCGAAAGATCCTAACAAATTTTATATTCTGACTATTTTTAACTAGACTTGACTTGACTTGGAGGAAAATTTCGAGGTATGACTTGACTTGTCTTTTCTTGGTCGAAAAAATATTGAGGTTTGATTTGACTCGATCGAAAAAATTTTGAGGATGTGACTTGACTTGACTTGAAAATTTTTTTAATGACTTAACTGGACTCGTGACTTAAAAAACCTCTGACTTGCCCACTCTGTGGGTTACACAAATGTTCTATAATAATGAACAGCAATGAACACTACAACTCCAACTACAATTCCAACTATAACGATTACTGCAATCACTATTCAGTAGGTAGGTAAACATTAAATTAACGCTTCTTAACCTTGGCAAATGTTAATTTTTACTCAAGTATACATAGTTTCTTTGTATGCAATAATAGTCTGCAGCTAGCTGAAGGTCACACTGATAAGATCAGGGATCTTATATTATAAGTGATTCAATTTTAATCGTATAAAAAAACAAGCCATATTAATCCCAAAGTTGGCTATTTTTCATCACTATCGAAGTTTGATTCATTTTACTGGCAGCTATAAAACAAAATTCATTCTTCCTCTTCATTTTATAAGAATGCACTTTATTCTAAGCACCTCCTCCTTCTCATCTTTACCTGAATTCGGGTAATTTTGAAGTCGGATGTCTCAATTCCGTCGGACATCATTTTGAAACATTCCACTCATAGTTTTAGCTACAAAAATCGTAGAGAGCTTCGTTTCGGTTTCCGAGAGGGAGTATACATTTCATCGTCAAATGATATCATATTAGTCAAAGACTGGTTAATTGATAATTCATGAGAATTGTTAGAATAGATCCAGAAAAAATTTTGATTGTTATGTCCGCTACATGCATACTACTTACTACATATAAATTAAGTAAGAGTACTTAATATATGCAGAAATATATCGGCTCGAATCCTAAAAGATCTTTAGTAATGATTTACTAAAAATGCATAAAATATTGAAATAAGTTCAAAACTCATGATGTATCCAAGAAGAAAAGCGACTGGAGCTTTTAGTGGACTTTATAAAAGGATAGAGTAGTGTCGAGTCTAGATAGTCCTAAAACTAGAGGTGTTTTCTCTGTTTTCGTCTTTAAGTTATTCAAAAAATGGCCACGACCATTTGACTCTGAAATGGACTATAGAAAAAGTTTCTAAATTTTCATCTGCGGAAAGAACATTGTCGAAAGTTTTGTCAAATTCCTTTCATAGACGAATGTCTCATTTGTAGCTCTCGCTCTCGCGAGGGAGGACGATTTATTTTCTTTTTCTTTCATTGTAGTAATTCCCAATATTCTAGTCGATACTCGATGGACACAGAATGGGATGGCCATTGCTGGATGCCCTAGAAAGGGGTTACCACAAATCAGCTCTGGCTGCTTCATGGTCTTTTCATTGATGATAATCAAACGATGGTCGTCGCTAACTTCGATAATCATCATATCATCCAACAGAAGATGGATGATACGAATGGACAAGTAGTAGCTGATGGCCATGGCAGACAAAAACGATTGGACCAATTGAATGAACCAACCGATGTGTTGATTGACAAAGAGACTGATAGCATCCATATCTAAGATTGACATAATCGACGAATCATACCATAGTCTAGTCGCAATGGTACAACTCAAGGAGAGATCCTTCTCGACAATATCGATTGTTGGGGACTGGCCATGGATGATCATAGATCTCTCTACATCTCTGATATCGACAAACATAAAGTAAGACGATATCAAATAGAAGATAAAAATGGAACTGGTGTGGTCGGTGACTATGGACAAAGTAATGGTTTCAATCACTCAACTGGCTGACCTACGTCTTTGTCGATCAGCAACAGCCTGTTTACATGTCAGATTACAACAATCAGCGTATGATGCAATGGAATATAGATGCAAAAGAACGAATGAAAGCTCTCACACCATCGCTTTTTCCTGAAGGACTGTTCGTCAATACTTTGGACACTTTCTATTTGGCAGACTAGAAGAATCACTGAGTGATTTGTTAGCCTAAGGGAGCGAAACAGGACAATGTCATTGTGGGTGGAAATGCTTACGGAGCGGGAGCAAACCAATTGGCTTCTCCCCTTGGTATGTCCTTCGATCGATATCGCAATCTATATGTCGTTGATTCTTGGAATCATCCAGTCAAACGTTTTTCTGTCGAATAGACTCATCACGACCATTAGATCTTTTTGTATCTTTCCTTCCAATAAATCATGTTGATTGATTAAAGGAATTGTTATTCTATTTGCACGCGCGTGACTAGGAACCACTCTGGTGGAGCCATAGCGAGCGCGAAACTCATGCATGCGCAGGACAGACTCGAATTATTTACATAAGATGTGTCAAAGGGTCTGATAGAGGCCTAGCCGTGTATCATGGACACCAAGATAGCTTCTAGTCGAACTTTTAGGGCCTATTCGGAAGGCCTTCAATTAAGCAAGAGTCTCGAAAGGACTAAATCATTCCACCTCTCTTTAACAAGGCCTCTAACAATCATTT